GCCATCTGGAAGGGCAGGGCGGGGAAACTTGTTTGTGGGGAGAAGTGGGATCGCTGCCAAGGAGGCGCCCCCAGCCCCGCGGGCCGGGTGGGAACAGGTGGCGCGGGCCGGGCCGGGCGCTTTGTGTCAGGGCGCGGAGATCGGCAGCAGGCGGCCGCGCCTCCCTCGGCCGCTCCCTTCGCTTCCCTCCCCTGCTCTCCCCGGCGGCCGCACGCCGGGTCGGCCGGGTAACGGAGCGGGAATCGCCAGGAATGTGCCTCTAGGGACTGCCTTGCTCGAGGGAGGAGAGAAGGTGGCCGCGGAGGTGCGGGAGCCGAGAGGTGGCGCGGGGGCTGCACCGCCCGCAAGCTGGAGAGGGATGCTTCCAGCGATGCGCGTTCCGCCCGGGCAAGCGCTTCATTCTTCCGCGGCGCCCCTGGAGGTGGGGAGCTGGGTGGGCGTGTGTGCAGAGAAAGAGGAGCTGGGGAGGCCAGATACCTCCGGAGCCGGTTCTGATCGGTGCAGAGAGCTCTGCTTTCCGTGTCGTGGACCTTGGGGTGCTGTTGTGCCCGGCTCCACGAGCGCCGGTGATGCGGGTCTGGGGGCGTCCCTGGCCCAGATTTAACAAAGGGTGCTCCTCTTCACCCGGCGGGAGGGGCACTCCGGAGAAGTGGTCTTCAAAGACGGTCTTAGCCCTGAGGAGGTCTACCTCCTTTTTAAATTGTCATTTTATTTGTATTATTGCCTTTTTTTTTTTTTCTTAAAGAACTGGAGACTGATGCATGAGGGGCCCACGGAGGCGCAGGAGCGGTGGTGATGGTTTGGGAAGCGGAGCTGAAGTACGCTGGGCTTTGGTGAGGAGTGACAGTTTATCATGACCGTGTTCAGGCAGGAAAACGTGGATGATTACTACGACACCGGCGAGGAACTTGGCAGGTACAGGGGGTGCCGGAGGCGCACGCTACTGAGTTATGGGAATGCATAAGATTGGGGGGCAGTGGGCGGTGAACGAATGCAGTTTGAATCAGGCATCTCCCTTTCCTTTCCAGGAGATGCGCAAATTATAGGGAAAAAGAGTTACAAACCCAGAGAGGGCTAAGGACCAGAAATAAACTACCTTCTCCAAGGCGGTGGGGGCGGGAAGGCAGTTTCAGTGTTAGATTTTGATGCAAAGCATATTGATCCAAGACCCTTGGACAAGAACAGATTGAATTGTCTGCAGTAACTTGTCAGCTTTTGTCCTTCCTACACAACAAGGCGAACGCTAAAATAGGTGAAATTAATTTAAATATAATTGCAACTAAAATATAATTGCAACTAGCTCTCATGTGAGATTTAAACAGAGGATATGAACTAATAAATAGGCTTTCCAAATCCTCCTACTTTCTCTTTTTCTGAAATTTCAGGGTAACATGCACAAGTATTGGTAGGTCCTACATTGGAGACTTGCCAGATGTTGATGTTGGGCTTGGATTTTGAAACTTCCTGGAATCAGGAATTTAATTACCCAGTTGGTGTTAGTGGTGGCTTTGGTTTCATTCTCAATGTTAAATTTTTAACAAATCAGTGAGCGAGAGTCTAATATGGCTCTCTGGATTCAGAGCCTATCCATTGCTGGGGGAACTGTGATTCTGAGTGTAAAGTCTTTCGGTTTCTAGGTGAATAGATTTCTTTGGGGGCATCTAAGGGCTGGATTGGTTTCCCCTGGACTGGGTGTTTTGACAGAATGTGTTGAGCTCTGGCCCAACTATAGCAGAAAACTCAGTTTTCAGACCTAAATTTAAATTCAACATCTGGAATTTGACTGCAGTGTATTTGTACTGTGAGTAAAGTAGGCCAAAGAATCTTTAAACAAGCAAAAAAAAAGTATGTATTGACTCATACATGTATCAAAATATGTATTTTTCCACATACACCTGATGTCCTGATACAAAGCTTCCTTTTACTTCATGAAAAGGAAATTCACAAATACCCACACCCTAGATTACCTAATGAGAATTATGAAAGTTGAGCTTACCTAAAATATTTTATGAATTCAAATAATAGTGCAGAGTGCAAGCAGTTTTTAAAAAGTTACTGTAACAGCATATTTCTGTATATATTTAGTATTGACCGAGAATACTGGTTTAGGAGTTGCTCACTATATATTGGAGATTTACTAAACAAGTAAGAAGGAAAGCCCTCAAAAATAATTTTTCAGGGTTATGTTTAAGAGTATGTGGTTGAAATACTTGGTTTAACTAGAATTAAATCACTTTATCCCCATGGTTTTCAGGGAGATGAGTGATATATGGAGTTCTCCTTTGGAAGTCAGGGGGAAAAGGTGAAAAAATATATTTTAATTCTGTTTGTATAATGTGGCCTGATGATATAAATTATGTTGTAACGAGAGATGATTAAAATTAGGTAAGATGATTGCTTTGTAAATTAAGTATATTGCCCTTATTTTCATTAAGATTTTTTGGTAGAATTATATGTTGTGAGAAAGAAAGAAAAAAAAAAAAATGAGGCCTCCCTGTGGCTGGCCCAGGGCGTTTGTGATTTTTATTTTGTGGATGTGATGACAGCCTTCTGCCTCTGCCCTGGGGAGTGGTTTGCAAATTTGTCACTAGCATCTCGCTTTGATTTTGGCTTTGTCTACATTTCTGTGTATAACTTTCTCCCCCCTGTACAAGACTAATTGACAAATTGTTTCTTGAATAATTTAATTTATGTGACCTATGAATTTGAAAGAAGTACTCTGAAAAACTGAGAGTTGGGGATTTTTAAAATGAAAGTATATGTGCCCATCTAGCTGCTGTATCTTTTGGTTTTGCTAAAAATGGGTTAAATGGTTGGTTTTTAAAAGTTTTTTTAAGTCTTGTGATTTTTATGTCTGCCTTGGAAATAGCCACTTCCTGAAAACAAATCCTAACATAAGAAAGACAAATAGGAAAAATACTGCTTCATGTGTCACTGAGAGAAGATTGGGAGTGGATGCAGGAGTTTAGTGGCAGAAAATGGAAATGGGCAGATAGCAAACACAAAAGCGAAGTTATTCTAAGCAGTGAGTTATACATCTAGATTTAAGACTTTATCTACATACTCCATTTAGCAGTCATCTAAATAATAGCTACTCACTTACCTTATAAATGTACTGAGACAAGGTCCACAACTAGAGCAGAGAGGTTTTTAAACAAGTAGAATACAGTATTATTATTATTATTATTATTATTATTAATTATTATTATTATTATTTCACTTTTAGGAAAACAGAATATGTATGTTGGAGGATCAGTATGTGGTTGTGTCTGTGTGTCTGGGTCTGTCTGTCTTTGTGTTTTAATATGTGTCTGTGTGGACTGCCCAGGACAGCTGTAAAAAAGCTCTCTGTCAGCTCTAAAGAACTTCATCAAGTATTGATTATTGCAGTAGTGATAGAGCAGACAGACCACTGGACAGATATCTTGGTCCAAAATCATCTCTGCATCTTGCTAGCTTTATAACCTTAAACAAAGTCACTTACCCTCTCTGACCCTCAGGATCTTCATCTATAAAATGAGAGGCCTAGTGCTTATTTCATGGCTGTTGTGACAACCAAGTAATCTAACACATGTAAAAGTATTTTATCAGCAGTAAAGTGTTAAACAAATATAGATATCATCTGTAGGTCTGTCCAAGACATGGAGTGTTCCGGGCAGGGTCATAACTTGGCTGGCAACTCAATATTCTTTTAAGTACCTCTTTACCAATTTTGGGAAGGGAGGCCCTGTACGAAAAGGATCATGGGGAGATGCATTGCTGCCAACACTTGGCCTCTCCACTCTGATTCTGAATAATGCTGCTCTGGCCTTGAACTTGCACACTTACAGAGTAAAAACAAGTCCCTGCAGTGAATGGACCATCATCTTTAAAAGACTGTTTGCTGACCTTCTATGTTGACTCCAGGAGGCCCTCTAGGGTCTCACCTTCTACCCCAGGAGGTGGAACAAAGCACTGCTTCCATCTCAGGTAGTAGTCTCTGGGAAGCGTTCTTATAAATGCAGATTTCTCCATCTGCTGTTATGCTTGGGTCGTTTTAATGCCCTAAGGTGCCTGAGCATCTCTTATCAGTTGGCACTTGGGGCAGCTGCAGGCTGGCTTGTCCCACCATTGGGCTCCGGTTACACCCTTGGCAGAGGTTCAGCCTAACCTGTGAGCCTTCTGGGCACCAATTTGAACACCCTTTCCTGAGGGCTTGGCCTTCTTTTCTCTTCCACTGTCTGACCTCACATAATCTTAAGACCTGGGTCCCACCTCCTGAATATATCCCTCCGTGATGCTTTCTCTCTTTTAGGAGCCAAATGACTTGTGTCTGAAGCACTCCACTGGTCCATAACCACAGACTGCCTCATGCCATGCTCCATCTTTGCTTTGTGTTGGTATTATCTTTGTATTGCTTTTGTAGTCAGCTTGAAAGTTCCTTCAGGTGGTCTTTTCTTCCCCAGGGTGTGCAGTATGCTGCATAATACCGGGCAAAGTTTGATCGATGCTTGAATGAGTTAATGCAGTTTGGCAGGTGCAGTATTGAGACCAAAGCGGGGACTGAAGATGCAAATGGTGATGCAGATGCTGTTGCTGATAGAGAGGCAGTGTTCAGTGTGGTTCAGCCACAGCATTCTCATTTGGAAAATAGGGAATCACCTACCTTTGCAGGATGTTGTGAGAATTAGAGACAATGGATGAAAACATCTGACACAGTCACTACCTAAGATATTATTCTTAATAACCTGTTTTCCCCATCACAGCATTTACCACATTGTATAGTCATTACTTATTTGTTTATCTGCTTTCTTCACAGGTTGTCACAGGGTTGCAACCTCGAACTTACTCATCATTTTTATCTCTAATGCCTAATTAGATGCATGACACTTACTAGGTGCTCAATAAATGCTTGCCGATTAAATGATTAAATTAAATGAATATATGTAAAGCGCGCACACACGTACACACACGTGTGTGTGTGTGTATATATGTGTATGTATGTATGTATATGTGTGTGTATATATAAATGTGTACATATTTATACATATATATATATCCCTCAATAAACGATGACTCTGGTGGAGATGAACTTAGGACGTGAAAGGCTGCAGCTCATAAAATAAATAAAAGCTGCTTTGCTTCTGCATTCTCTGTGGCCAAACAGTAATATGTGCACAGCAGCCACAATTTCCTATCACAAGATCACTTTAAACAAAACAAGGTGAACATTAAATATTTTACATTGGTTTGGGTGGTCTCTGGAAGCCAATAATTCAATTTTAGGGCATTCTCATTTTGGCTTAAAATCCATAGGCATTATAATTGAAGTAGGGAATGGTGAGAACGTCTGACAGTCCCGGTCCCTTGTACGCCTTTCACTTGGTTTGTTGTGGACTGAGGAGCGAGTCCTAGGAATTGTGGCATTCCCCTGTGGGTGGACGGAGGAGAGACTTCCCGGCGTGGGAAACGCAGGCCCGTGAGGTCGACTAGTGAGAGCATCCTGTAGGACTGCGCTGAATGTGATTTTTCTCTTTGCCTTTTTGCTCCCATTGGCCCTCAGGTATTTCCTCTGGTTGGAAAGGCTGCAAAGTTTTAGAGAGATAAAGTTCAAGTATCTGTATTAGAGGTAACAGTCAGTGATTTTTAAATTCTCTACATAATGTCTTCTAGGATGTGAAGGGAGGGCATGTTGGTGGTAGGGAGTGGCAGTTTGGCTGAATGCTTGTCTGCTAGCACTGGGAATGCATCTCTGGACCATCCAGCAGATGTAATTTAGATTCCATGGGGCCAGGAACCTAGAGTGTCAAGGGTCTTATTAATGGAGAAACCAAGGAGCATTGAGGCTGACTTCTTGGTCTCCCTATGGCCTTTTATCTTAAGCTTGTGTCTTTTTTTATTTTGTAATATTTTGTTAAATTTTTCAATTATAGTTG